CAGATATCACAGCATCATTTATCCCTCATATGTCACTGCCTCTTTTATTTGTAACTAATCCAATGTCAAATATAGATAACCAACCTATCCCAAATTCCTCCCAGAGTAGACAGTTCTTGAGAGACAGTTCTTTCTACACAAATTATTTACAGGTCCAGTGTCATAGTAGAATAAGGAATGGTATTTTCCCCTCTCAAAGGTACAACTGAAAATCCCATTCAATACAGTTTCATGTTCTGTGGTGCTTTGCATTTAAATCACAAAAGAGATTTTCATTAGCATGTTGGCCAAGTTAAAATCCTTGGAGAACTAGCAGTTATTTTCCCTGAATATCTCCGGTTTCCCCCATTTCCTCAACTGTCTGTCAATGCTTGTTCCCTGTTGTAAATACCAAACATTTTTTAGGTGATAACTGCTCTTTTGGTCAGTTCTGTTAGAGCCTTGTACATAATTTTGATCATAATTTCATTCCAGTGTCCCAGGTCCCTAAAACCATGGTCAACCTTCTCTTTTTTTCCTCTAGGAATGTCTACTTTACAGCTTATATATTTAACCTTTAACTCAAGAAGGGAATTCTTTGCTAGATTTTTCTGAGATGACAGAAGTCATATGTGGCCTGGCTGTTTGCTGCCTTTCTGAAGAATTAATTAAACCAGTGCCTGCTTCAATTCTCTAATAAAGTAGCAGTATTCCTAGATATAGTATAAACTTTCATATGCAAGGGGGGAAAAAAGAGCATTTCACTTGGGCTTACAGTTAACTCCTCTAGTCTAGACTTCAAAGTGAGACTGTATTTATGAGATACAGTAAGTCCTGAGGGCTCTTAGTCTGAAAGTCACTGATAAAGTCTCTGAAAAGAAAAGAGTGTGGAATCTTCCCTTTTTCTTAGAACAAAGTTATGATTCATGATCAGCAAGAAGGCTAAAATAAAATTAAAAAAAAATCAAAAAGAAAAACAGTGATTAGAGAGTCCAGTCACATCAGATCTACCATATTAAAGTTCAAGTTGTTAATTCTGAGTGAAGGTAAATTCTGCATTGTCTCCTAACAACTGCTGAAGAGATCTTATCCAAACTGCTGTCATTATGGACAGATATTAATCTCAGCTTCTTAGAAATGTGTCTGTAACAGTATCCAGGGATGAACCCTCTGTTATTTTTCAATGCTGCCAATTCTACACTTAGGATAGAAACCTGAAGACTAAACCTGTCTATCATCTATACTCGTGATTGCTGCAGCTACTTGTTGCTCAGGATTGCCCTCTTTATCTTAGAGGAAGCTTCTTGTAGGTCACAAAAACCAGCGAGGTCTTCAAATAAACCTGGTCAGAAAATTCCTGTCCTTCAGCCCTTTTCCTTTGCTTTGATATACCAACCACAAGGAAAGGGAAGTAGGAATGTTCCTGGATGGTCTCTACAGCACACACACAGACACACTTCAAAAGAAGCAATCCTCCCTGCTCTACTCACCAGTTACTTGGTCAGGGGACAGCTACTGCCGTTATTTTATAGCACAAAGAGGTTGTACAGCATCAAAGAGCATGACCGATTATTTTCATTATTGTCTATACAGCATGTAGCAGGCTGCTGCCAGCTTGTAAATTCTAAATGCTAAAAAGTAGTTTTGATTATATTTTATTATTGGAAGAACAGTCCACTCTTCTTGGAAACATTTCCTCCTCCTCTCTCCTCCGAGACACCCATAAATAATTTCAGTCTTTTCAGGACAGGGATTTCAAAGTGCCCTTTCAATTAAAAAGTGTTTTTACTAGCTTGGGTGGTTCTCTGGTTACAGTTTGGTTTTTATAGCTCTATTTTTAGGAATATGGTAATCTGAAACTACAAGGCAGGGAATACCACTGGTTCTTCCAGCAGCTGGAGATGAAGAACATTCCAGGGTTAAATGGCTCTTGGTTAATACTTGCAGTAAGTTTGTCTATAATTGTTCTAAATGCCTCAGAAATGTCTGCATAAGTGGGAAGATTATGGTTTTGTGGTTGTTTGGAGTTTCTGAAATCCCCTTGTTCCACTGTGTTGCATCTGTGAGTCTGCTAAAAAAGATAAAATATAGCTGAAATTTGACATTTCAAAATATATGGCTAGTGCAAAATTTCAGGAGTAAAATTTGTGTGGTGCAATTCAAGAGAAAAAAGATAGCTGAAATTCTTCCAGACGTGCTGTCCTCAAGTACACTGCCATAGACATTCAAGATCAAACACTTCTCAGTCAGCAATAGCTTCAGGATGGATGTACCCGTATTCTCCCTCCTTCCACACTGGGCACAGGTATACAGCATGCATTATGCTTGCTCACTTGCACAACCCCAAGAGACTAAAGAAGCCCTGAAAGATAGGAAGAAGAGCAAATGATGAAAGTGCATATGGACAACTTATCTTGAAGGTTGCTGTTTACAGAGTGGATCTGTGCACAGACTGCCATGCTCACTGTAAGCCACAGGCACAGACAAAAGAAGAAAAGATTTAATTATTTTCAAATAGAAGGACAGAGCTTATTTGACATCCCAGGAGTGACACGATGCCTTGTCCCTAGAAATGAAAAGTCTCTGAAAAAATATCAGTAGGTTAATAGTTTGATTTTGATGAAAATCTGATTTAGCATAGGCAGAAACTGTCTGAGAGAAAAAAAAACAAACACCAATTTCACTTATTTTGTGAAAAAGTCTACACCCACTTTTTTGTTTGCTTTAAAAAAACCCAAACAACAAAACCAAAAAAACCCAAACAACAACAATAAAACAGCAATGTGGATGACTAGTGCTACAAAAAAGAACTAAGCTAAACTCATACTGAGGAAGGTAGAAGAGAACAATAACTTTTGAAAAGTTTTGAAACTCTACATGGGACAAATCAAACCCAAAAGACCAAGCAAAACTCTGAGCAGTGTAACAGCAGTCACAATCTCTACTGTCAAATTCCCAACCTGATCTACTGCAGAATTACCCTCAACTCAGTTCAGTCAGTATAAATAAGCAAGATAACTGAAACTATGATTTATATTTCTCCACTTTTCAATTGTTCGTTTTGTATGCCTTCAGGTAAGATGGGCAAGACTCTGCCAAACTTTTACATTAAATGCTCCAAGAGAAGAGGGGAAAAAATAGGAAAAATGTTTTCCGCGCTTAGGTAGATAGATAGATAGATGGATAGAGAGATAGATGGATAGAGAGATAGATGGATAGAGAGATAGATGGATAGAGATAGATGGTGCTGAGCAGAGATAGAGGGTATATGACACGGAAATGCTCAGTTGCAAAAGGGAGGAGATGAGGTAGGTGTGACAGGTAGAAATGTAGGTCTGCTGACCCAGTTTTAAAGCTGAATATATATCTTTACCTAGGTCAGCAAACGGAGATCAAAACAAGACTCTCCAAAACCTTGTTCATAAATTAAAAAAAACTTTTCTGCCCTCGTGTATCAGTTGTATTCAACACCAATCATGTTTTATTTTTTACTGTATTTTTATTGTTTTTGCAGCATATTACATAATACTGTAGGCACTACACAGAGACCCTAAGCCTAGCTTTATGCTATAAATTGTACAAATACATACAAGGAAATGCTTTTTCCTTCAAAGAACTTGAATCTACTGTTGCTTATAAATTATATTAAAAAAAAAAAGGTGAAGAAGAGAAAATCATGAACAGAAGTATAATAATCATAGAGCCAAGTGAGCAGCGAGGTTTGACTTTGATATTGCTTATGCTGGAATAAATTTGGAATGACCAGAAGTCTTAAACCAGTTTAAAAGCTGCATCAATCAGGAGAAAAGGACAGGAAATTCTGGGATTTCTGGGAACTAAGGAAAAGCCACAAATGCATTTTACATCGTAAAGAGAGAAAAAGTGAAGTTAAGAAATGATGCAGGGTTGAGAAATAAGATGCTACCACTTGTTCAGGAAGCATTTGAGATGCATTCAGGAAGCACACTGATGCCCTTGCTATGAAGTGAACCTGGATGAGACCAGAAGGGACTTCATATAAGCAAAACCAGTTGGAAAATTGGAAAAAAATTAATTTGGTGGAAAAATAGCATCTGGAAAGTCCATCAAGCTGGGAAGAAAAGGGAAAAAGGAATAAACTAGTACAATATCATAAAACAGGAAATATGATGGTAGGCCAGTAAAGGTGCAGCTCAGAAGGGTTAGAGTCTTCCCGTTTTCCTCCCCACACTTCCCATATGGTGTTCCCCAGCAAGCCTCCCCACAGGTCTGACTGCTGTTGGAGAGACCTGAAAGACACTACCTGGAAGGAGGATAAGCCCAGCAAGGGCTCCCAGGCCTCACATGCCCTCTTCCCAGGAAACCAGTGCCCAGTCAGCCAGCTGTTTTGCCCACAAGCACCTTCCCAAGCGAGGATGGGGAAAATACAATTTCTCATAGGTGGTCCCTACAGCCAGGAACTGAGATTGTCAGTGTAAGTGACTGACTGCAGGAAAAATTCATCTCTGGATTACTTTGCTATTTCTTAGGGTGGTACATAGCAAAGCATGAGCCACATAGCAATCAAAATGTCTTTCAGGTGGTGGCAGGAAAAGAAGTTACTTGGTGGACTAACTGAAGACTTGGAGGGGATGCAAGGCACCTCTTCTTGTCTGAGTTTCACTTTTGGGTTTTTTTCACTTTTAATGAGATGACAATATAATGGGAGAAACATAGAAAGTCTGTACACAACAACCAAGCGCAGGCATGATCAGTAAGATAAAGCTGAAGTAACGGGACTGTATGAAAAAAAGATTCTAAGTGGATTGATTTTTTCCCCCCTATGTTGCCCAGTGATAAAATGAATACGCAGACAAATGAAAGTGAAAGGCTTCAGGACAGACATAAGGGGTAATTCTAAAATTTGAACATCCTTCTTGTACCATCTTGTACAATCTGATTTTCATGACGGAAAGGAAAAATTAATTCCTGCTGCCTAAGTGAGAATCACCAAATTAGGTATATTGTTTCTGTCATTTTATTTTATTGTGATGTAGCTAGAAGAAGAAATCAGTAAGTAGACACTAAAAAGGTACATCTCCAGAGAAAGCTAATCAACCTATTATTGACTTACCTACAGTTATTTTTTGAATCGAAAAATACCAAGACAATTTTCAATACTCACATATCTTGACTGAACACAAAGCCTTGGCAGCACATAGAAGAGCCATCACAGTGCCAGAAAGACAACAGGAAACAGCTTTCACTGGGCAGAAGTCACTCCTAGAATACAATACTTCACAGCTAAGGACTCACTAAGCACTTGAAAGGAATATAGAATTTGCATTATATTTTCACCTCTAAATACTATAACCAAAAAAAAAATGCAAATGTATTTTGGAAAAAGTTTTTTAATATTTACATGTTTGATTTCAGTAATATAAATACTTATCCAAAGTTAGATGCTCACTCACCTGAAGCTTTTTGCATTTAAGTCTTCCTAGCAGGACACCATCAATGTCCACAACCAGAGTGGACAAATCCTGAGAAATTATGAGTAATGCAAGAGCCCACTCACACTGTACAAGTCCCAGGACAATGCATTATGTACCATTTAACATTCCTTAGTTTTTCTGCAGGGCAATGATTTCATCTGCAGCGCATCTGCTCTCTGTCTGCTGGAATAACTCACCTCATTCATTCAGAGGATATTTTCTGAAAACAGAGCTGCTCTCACGTCTCAGTTTAAGGACAAATAGCCCTTTTAAAAACAAATGTCTGGCCAAAACTCTTATAGTAATTGCAAATGTTATCCCATAATTTAAAGGAAAGATCTTTACTGAACAAGGCTGTTTCCCCTTATATGCCAAGAAGACTTTTGGTTAATTTTCCTGCTTCTCAGATATTTTGTATTAATTTAAATTTCAATTAAAGAATTATTAGAATCTGTAGAATTTGCTTCCTAAATTAAATTGTAATTTTTTGAAATCAGTATAACCTAATAGATCAACCTCAGGTCAAACTTGATTTTCTGATGCACTCAACTTTATTGCTCAGAGTGGAACATATCTTAATATAGCATTCGAGTTTCCTTTTTCTCTACAGATCAGATCAGAACAGTAAGCTGGCTTACAGAATTAATCCTCAGAATCAAATGAATCAAATGACTGCTTATTGATTTAATAGATGAGGGGGTTATTTGATCTTGAAAATGTTATTTGAAATTGCTAATCATGTTTTTATCTGTGCCCAGTAGTATTTTTATAGTGCAAAATACATGAGGGGTAAGTCATCTTTAATAGATATAAAGAACTGCATCATCTACCACCTATACACCTAATCTCTCATCCTGCGCAGCGCTGAAATTCCAAGTAATCCAGTATTCCCAATGGTACTCACAAATAGTACTGGTGAAAATGTGTACATGTCATAGTATGTGTAGTAGACATGCCATAGTAAGTGTAGTAGCCTAGTTATCTGGAGGAAAGCCTGTTTTAAAAACTACCAAAAGAAGTTGGAAATAAGTATCTATTCTCAGCCTGTAGACAGATGTTGATCTTCTCTGAAGATTCATGTATATCCATGGTGGAAGAGGGTGGACACGGGAACGTGACCTTCCACCTGCCGTGGAGGCTGTCTCCTCGGCAGTGTTGTTCTCTCTGACTCAACAAATACCTGCTACTGTGCAAAATGAAAGTTACTGTGATACTCCCCAAAGCAGTTAGTTTAAGCCCTGTTCATTCTATCAAGCTTTCTGATACCCCTTAATAAATAAATTTCACAATAAGTAGGATTTTCAAAAGCATTTAAATTACATTGAGAGTGTAAGACTCTAAATCCCATCTTGCCTAGACTTGTCTTTGTACAGAATCTGTTATGATGTTTTAAAGAAAGAGCAAATGAAAGAGATCTGTTTTTTCGTAGTTTAAGTTCTAGTCCTTCATGTGAAATTCTGAATAAAATGTGTTCCCAAAAGGTTTACAGCAAAGGGGTTTATAGCAAAGCCCCAGGGTTTATGAGAAAACCCCTTGGGGAGACAGTTACTCATAAATTCCTTTCCCAAACACAGAAATGCTAGCCAACAACATTAACATAATTCAGACTTTCACATGCTGGTGGATGTATTAGCTGATGGTATTTGAGCTGCTTTGAAATGCTGCCTGAGCCTACAGATGCTGCCTTTAAGCATCAACACCAGCTTTGTCAGGTGGCAATAATTCCACTGCTGCTGCATTCAGGAACAGTTATGTCTTGCTGTTAAGGCTGCTCCATCCTGTGCCGGTTGCCTGAGACCTTCTCATACAAAATACTTGAATCAAAGCCCTTGTCTCCCACTTTCCTGGTATTTAAATAAAGCAGTCTTCTTCCACAATCTGCATCCTTCTGATGTAAAAAGAAAAAGCAATCATGTAACATTGGCTAATTCTTGTGGTTGGACTGCTTTTTCAAATATAATTTTCTACAGGAGACATGTGCAGAGTGTCATTTTTCACAAGGAAATGGCACAATCCAAGAGCGTAATCACAGTGGTCGTTTGCTCCATCTACCTGTCTCTTCATCTTTCTGTGAGTCCCCAACACTTATGATATCAATTTCCAATTATATGATCATATTGGGTTTATGAATCCAAAGGTTGAATGAATTGTATGTACTGAAAATTGTATCTACTGAAAAACTTGTTCTGTTCTCTAATTTGGCAACCCTAAATATGATTCAGAGTTTAAGTTCACAAGTCTTTAATAGTTTGTTTCTTATTTTGACAATCCCACCAAACTGTAAGATGGTTAGTCAACCAGTATTCGTACAGTTCAGCTGTACTCATCTGCAAACTACTTAAATTCATGTCCAATAAAGTGTAGCCTGTGGCAAAGCAGAATGTGCCTAATTTGTAGCCAGAATTTCCTCAAAGATTTATCAGCAGTCTACGTTGTAAATACATGCTGTATTTTCAGCAGAAAGCATTGTTATTCGTATAGTACTGGAAGCTCAAAGAACCACCTGCCACACAAGCTATCAAGCAAAGGCCTAGGGAAAAGCTGACCTTGTAGCCAAGAAAGTGTTACTTGCCTTGAACCCAATTTAGTGTAGATGTGGCAGTTCTGAAGACCACTGTTGGATTCCAAATTTTAGATATGAGAAAAGAAACTGCTAAACAGAAGACCTTGAGTCGCAGAAGCTGGGGAAAAACCCTTTTTAGTAACTTCATCACTGTGGATTCTTCCTGCCTCTTCCAGCACGATGGAGGAGACTCCTTGCATGATGTTATCACATGCCCTGCCCAAGCCAAAGAGACCATACCCCAATTTGATTAACCTATACAGAAGACCCATTGTGTTTTATCTCTCCTTCTGTGTTACCTGTCCCCCCTGTAAAATCCCCCAAGTTAAAGCGGGTTTTTCCCATGAGGCAATTCCTAAGACCCCAGGATTTGTCAAACCTGTTTTTTCCCTTACCTCACCTCTGGAAAGTCCTCAACTGTAATAGAATGAATATGCAAGCCCCCTGTTGAATATGTAAACCATAGACTCCCACGGCCCTGGGTGGAAGTAGGAACATGACAGCATACAGGGGTTCAGACAAGGTGGAAGGTCTGGAGCTATTGCCTTTATTAAGGGACTACACTGGCTTTTATAGGGTTCGGGGTGGAAGGCACTGGACCATGAGTGAAACATGGGACATACAAGGGAATGAACCAAGGAGGGAAGGTAGGAGGGAAAACGATGTTAGCACAATCAAAGGGCTTTGAGCACTGTGGCAAACTGCGGCCAATCAGAGCAAGGGACAAGAACACGAGGGGAAAAACAAGTCTGAACATGTTGAAAATTACTATAACTGGGGTACAAGGTAATATATAACATGCATTAACAAAATCTGTAGTCTGTAATAATAGAGTCTGTTTCCAATGAGGATATAGGTAGCAAAACTCAAGGCCACTGATGTCCTTGTTGCTCCCTCAGTAACTTTCATACAGTTCATGCCATTTTCTGAATCTTTCCCATTCATCATCTTCAACAGCCACAATGAACCCTTTAAATATGAAGTTGTGAACCCAATAAAGGATTCCAGTTTTCTGCCTCCCCTGGGATCGTGATAGCTTATTGACCTCCGCAGACCACAAAAAGGAGGAGGGAATGAAAATAAGGGGCAGTGGCAGATAGCCAATGTGCCTGATCAAACAGATGAAACAAGGTCTGCAGAGTACCCAAGAGCTCCTGTGTGTTCAGCCTCACAGGCTCAGGGCCAGATTTGAGAAAGGCTGCTGGTGGCCTTGAGAGAAAGAGAACAGAGGTCAGCAAGGGCTATCCTGCTTCACAGGATGCTGCTTTTAAGCTGAAGCTCTTGCCCTCGGTTCCTGCCTGTGTCCCAGCTACACCTGTGCCTGGCCAGGGACCATTTATCTGGACCACAATCCTGACACTGTGTATTGAGGTTGTCCCTGCATCCCAATTAGCATATTGAAGACAGAAACTCAGCTGAGATTTCCATTTACTGCCATGATATGGTTTGAAGCTGGCTCCCTGCCAAGTCTCCAAACCTTACCACCAGAAGTCCCCCCCGCAAAAAAAAACCTCAGGGAGAAGAGGGAGAAAAAAAAACTAAGAAAACCCAAAATGAGAGAGACAACCAAAGTGAGATATATAAATATATTTACACTTATATACAATTAAAATATACAATTTCACAGGGGAAAGGGAAGGGAAAGGGAACAAAACTAAAATAAAATATATACATATATCCCAATTAGTGACCCAATATCTAACAACTAAAAAAGTTAGCAAAGAAAATAGCTCACTACTCTCCTGGGACAACCGAGAGTCACTCTGGACCGATCGCTGGCAACCTCTGTCTCCCAAGGTCGGCAAGGCCTAACCAGGCCTCGCTCCCCAGCACGGCAGACTCAACAGCAGGGAACCTGCACCTCCAAGCCGCCGGAAGGAAAGAGAGCGAAGGCCTCTCCTCCTCTCTTCTTATAATTTGGCTTACGTAAAAATTGTAGGGAATACTGGGTAAATCTGGACCCTTCCTTGGTTACAAACTGGTCACCAAGGAAGGCCTAGCCCAAACCACCACATGCCATAAGAGAAAACATCATATAAATAGCTGAAATGATGTCACTTTAAAAAGGTACACAAAGCAATAGTTGAAAACATTGAAAAATAACTTGCAATATGACGAAATACGTTACTACACAATAGTGAAATATAAGGAAGCACAGGCACTGTTTTCAATAAAAGGAACTGGAAGTACCTTAGCTATATAGTTTCCACATTTTATCATGTCAGGTTTACTTGCTTTGGCTCTAGCTACCTCTTCTGAACAAAGCAAAAAAAAAACCCATTCCACCAACCAACCAAAAAACCACAAAACCCACAAAATCCACCCAAATCTGCATAATAGCACAACAAATTATATATAATATTAAAGTAAAAACTATATAAATATATACATACACATGTATATATATATATGTATAGCTGTTGGGAACAAAAACTGTTGTTCCCAGAGTGCCCTTCGGGACTTCAGAAAGCACTGGTATGTGGTCAGTGCAGTATCTTGTGTTCAGCTGGAAAACAAGGAATATTTTTTTAAAACTTTAAAACACACAGAAAACCACCTGGGGAAAAAGCATAATTTGTGAGCAAGCGTTATGAAACCTTTGAAATCTTTGTGCTCCCTTTTGCATTTGGAAATATTGGTGCTATGCATGTACTGCAAATGTGTTGCCAGCTGTCAGAGACACCCGATACGCGGCATGCCGTGATCTACATACTTCGTATATGTGGCCTGAAATAGGGGTGAAGGAAAGCAGTAGAGAAACACAGTAACCCAAGGGATCAGATTTTAAGCTTTTGGCTTAGGAGAACGTGTTTACACACCAAAATTAGACAATTTTATTCTGCAGAAGTCAGAAGAGTATGAGTAGCTTGTGCTATCCCTGGTGCATGATTTAAAAGGTGCTCACCTTGTAATAGTTTATCCCCTCACAGCAGAATAAGCTGTAGCAGTTAGTCTGTCCATAAATGGTGTGCGAGGAATTGCACCATGTAGCTCTACTGGAAAAGAAATTGTAACCCTACCACCTCCCATTCTTCTCATGTTGGTATAGCTATGTGTTGATCAAGACTTAAGAGGGACAGCAATTCGCCAGGGCTGAGAGTGACCGTGCAGATAACAGAGAAAAGCAAAACAGTCATGGAAGAAAAAAACTGAAAATATATCAAAAAGCATCACGATTGACTCAGGTCTTAATAGTTAATACATAAAACATGCCAATACTTTAAATGAAGGCAGATATTACTCAGTTAAGCAGCAGTCATGAAATCTTTTTCTAATTCAGGAAGTGCTTAAAACTGATCAGGGAATTGGAGTATGTGTTTTTTTATGGTTTAGTGACTGAAAATGATGATACAAATGAAACCACTGAGCAAGAAAGTTCATTTCAGGTTAATGTACAAACACAGCTCAAAAAACTCAGGGCTCCATTATCTTATAAAAGTAATCACGGCATTCATCTCTACCTGATGCAGCATGCTTTTCTACTTAAACAGCCTTACAGATGACGATCATAGCTATAATTTTTCAATAATGGAGTCACTGTTCACAAATTTAAACACAATTGTAAAAAAATCAGTTCAGGAAATACATACTTTCCAGAACTTGTAAGAAGAGGAAAGTCACTAATTAGAAACACAGAACAGTCCATCCTGCCATCAGCTCAATGTTTGTCAAGGTACATCCTTGTCACACTTCTGTTCACTCAAGGGCACCTTTCATTAAGAGGGAGAAGAAATGATAGACAGGAAATCGCAATTTTCTCTTTTAAAAAAATTCTTTGTTCACTGCTAAACACATCTAGATGAAATATAGGATGAAAAACTCTTCATTTTTACTGATCCAAAGAGCATCACACAAAAACAGCCAGACAGAAGGTAGGGGCAAGTTCTGCCCTCACCTGCACAGCCCTCACTGCCCTGTGCATGTTCCAGCTCATTGTGACAACATAACTGCAAAAAACCCTTTCCTCCACTGACTACGTTGTGGCCACATCAACTTCTAAATGCATTTAAAGCAGCCCATTTATATCAGTAGAAATGTTTGGTTGTCATGGAAGGGCATTTGATGCAAAGGCAACATCCACTCCTCCAAGTGCGCAGTCCCCGGCAGCCTCCCAGCTAGGGGTGCAGAGCCACTCGCGCAGAATGCTTGGTCCAAACAATGGCAGTGTCTCATGCACACAGGCCCGATTTCAGGTCTCCCCTGTTGTCCTTGCCATCCTAAACCGTCTTTTTTTTTTTAACCCCATCTTTTTCCATTCCAAGTGCCAAAAAAAAAAAAAAAAAGGTAAGGACAGTGTTATTGTAACATGATGCTGAGGGCATGTGCTGTACACAATGAGGGCATGTAGGGGTTGAGATGATGTTGGGATAGCAGTGGAGGGCTGGGAAGTGAGAGAGAGCAAGGAGTCAAATCGAGTGCAGTCTCTACTGCCATCTGGAACAGCAACTGAGGTAGAGCCTCCAGACACATCCAAGTTTTCTCCTACAGAGAACCAGCTGCTTTGATCCAAAAGACAAGCTGGGACTGAAGCAACATGTGTGCAGCGTGCACGACTGGGCACAGACACAGGAATGAAGCAGAAATCTAAGGCAGATGCACCCGATTGTAGACCCCCACAAATCCATAGTGGGGGGACAAACTTGAAGACAGCAATGTAATGGAAACTGAACCTGGAAAAATTCAAACCAAAGCAAGAGAAACACGGTAAGGGCAGAATTAATTACTCATGGGAAATGATATATTCATTGTCACTGTAACTGGTTCAATATTATTGAGCTCCTTCTAAGAGTAACGCAGTGGAGTGATGGGCACAGGATAACAGTTTGTGACAGAACTAAGGTAAACACCTGCCACTGAAGCAGCCCTAAAAAACAATTATTTAACTACAGAGGTTTGCATCTGTCTTCTATAAAATTTTATTAGCTTTATGTGACACTAAATAACTTAAGAATGCCTCCACATTTGAGAGAAATTCTAATCTATCACCATTCAAAAAAAGGACATTCTGTTTTTCTCTGAAAATCCCCTCTGCCAACATGATAATCATATTACTGCTGATCCACGAGAGGTGAGGGGGTGGAGTAACCTAATACAATGAGAGAAACATGAACCAGTGAGTATAACACAAGGCACAGACATGCATTCTCATAAGCCTCATTTCACATTCAGTATAACTGCTCTGTTTTACTGACAGTTTAAATCATAATGACAATGAAACTGAAGACTCCTACTGACGGTAATATAACTATCCAGCACTTTCTTCATTTCTTTGAGCAGCTTGAATACATTCAGAGTAATAAATAAAAATGTTTGTGGTTGGTGAGCCAATGTAAGGTTGCAGATAATTATTTATTATTTTTTTAAAATAACATTTCTTTCCAACCTTCAAACAAGCTAATGTTCCAATCCACTTGGATGCATACGGGAATCAGGTTCTAAAACATTCCCATAAGTGAGATTAAGGCCCAAATGAGCCCAGATGCTGGATCCCAAAATGACAACTTTATTTTGTAACACAAAGGAGCAGAGAGAAAGAAGGGAGATAGGACAGTGGGACAAGCTAAGGGGAACTGTTAAAAGCACAGGACAGGAGTTACCACCACCATGAAGTGCCACTGGCTTGCAAGCTGGTAGATCTCCATTGGGCTTCTACCATGGTTGCCTTGTAGCCTCCGAGAAACAAGCTGAACTGGCAGGGTAACGGAGTGGCAGCAGCTCCTGCAGCAGTCCTCAAACACCCCCCCGGAGTCACCGAGCACAGCCTTAAATACCCTCGCCGTGCTAGCCCCTGGATGTCCATCGGCCAGTTCACCAGTATCCTAGCAAAGTTCGCCTGGTACCAAGATGGGCCCTGAGTATCCATTGGCTGGTTCCCCAGTCTCCAAGCAAGATCTGCCTGGCTTACCTTATACGGGAGAGTAAGTCCTCGCCGTGTTCTTGATTGTAACAACTTTTTATCTTTTTTGCTCATCTACCTGCCTCTGATGGCTTGCTAGGTGCCTCCAGGAGCTTTTGCAAGTAGCTCAGCTCCCGCAGCAGCCTAGCTGTGGCATCAAGGCTTTTTAGCTCCATGCTCGAGACAACGGCAAAGCAGACTCCATCTTTTAATCACTTTATTACAGCTTTCAATTAGGTTGGGTTACTAGAGGTCAGAAAAAATAAGATTTTTGTAAAATCTTTCAAATATTAAATCCTTTTCCAGAACAATTCAAATCCTGTGAGACCTCCTTGTATGTCTTCTAGTGCTCGCTTGAGCAGTAATAGCCTTTTATCCAGTATGGAATGCAACGAGCTGTCCCCTATTGCCAAGATCTTCCTTCCCTACAGTACTGCAGGATCAAAGCACAAAGCTCAGAAAAGAAATATTTAGGTAGCAAACTAGTTCTTTGTCTAATTAAAATGCTTGAAGCCCACATGTGTTAAACCCCAGTTTTCTACATAATGACCCTTCTCTCCAGTAACATTCAATGATGAACACTTCTATGAATATATAACACCCAGCTTGTCTACACAAGGGCACTCATACACCTCTGCTTCTGTCCAAGCATCTGCACCAAGTACCATAGGGTTCAGCCAGCACATTTACTTCAAACAACTCCTTCAAGGTGTCCCTCAACAGTTTGCTTTTGGTGAGTAAGGCAACCCACCCACCTTCTAATTCTGCTTTTTCTGCTGTGGCTTTAGCTAGATTTTCTGATAACCAGGTGGTCTTTGTCTAACAAAGAGCAGGTCACCAACTGAGGAGCTGCAGACACAAAGCGAGGTATGGCGGGTAATTACTAGACAAGCTCAAAGTCTTACTATGATACGAGCCAATTTTATCTGCATATGAGAAACCACAGCTGGATCACTGGTTGCTTGAATAACAGAATTCAGCCCTTTGTACATTTTTTTCTACAGAAACAACATATTTATGAACCGAAGTCCACTACTAAAAAAACCCCAAATCAACAACCCCATCCTTAAAGCTACTCCACTGTGTATTGTCAGGCCGCACATTCACAAAAACACTGCAGTCTCTTTTCCCTTCACCTGTCACCCAGGGGTCTGGCTAACACTCTTTGATGTCAGCTTTAATACAACCAGACTGCTTTGAAAAGTGTAGTATGAGAAAGAGCTGTAAGACATCTTATCAGGGGCCTCTGCACTTGGCTCAGGAGTTGCATTTGAGCTCAGGTCCTTGCTATCAGTCCTTGCCTGAGTTGCATTACAGATATGGCTGTGCCTGGCTATATCCTTTGCTGATCCTGTGATTGCTTTCTGATTTGAATTTGCGGCTTGGGCTCATGCCTGTCTCATCATTACAGCCGCTCCTGTGTAATTTTGTACTTTGTCATTCAACAAGCAGTGGAATCAGTGAATCCTGGTCTATTATGGATTCACATACACTACAATTACTCTCCTCCACCCCTTACATCCTTCACTCAAAAAAACAGCAGGGCTGCTCTCACTGTGTCTACAAGAGCTCACTTATACTAAAAGCCTGAACTCCCAACCCACATTACCTCCCCATCTCCACCATACCTCCGAATCTCTGACAATGTGAACATTAGTTTTCTGAGCTTCTTACTCTGCTGAAAGGAGTAAATGGAAAGTCATGACCAAAGCAGATGGACCTGTGATAGAGGCTACTTCTGGCCATTTACTGAAGAAATCCATTAATACAACAACAATGGCAAACGAGTAACAAAGTCTATAGTGTTGACTGTCAGCTTTTCAAATAAAAAGCTAGTCTGGCATCAGCCTGTACCAACTCATGCTTGTTTTGTCAAGCAAGAGAAACTTTTGGAGCAGCCTGAGCATCCAACCCCGACTACCATTGGAGAACTTATAATCACTGTTATGACAACTCGTTGATGTGTACCACGAGCAAAGTGTATTGATTTTGTCTCTAATTCCTCCAGAATAATACATTTATGAGTTATTCTCCTGTCTTGCAGAGAAAGTTCAGTCCAGCTCAAAGTATAGCAGAGATAAATTATATTTGTTATTATTATTAGTCTATTTTGCTGTCAGTATGCCATGTAATTTCTGCTCAACAACACAGACTAAACAAGTAGCTTTATATTATTCTTCTGAAACAGCAGCAAAAACTTACCCAATTTGTTCAACTGCTTCCATAGTAGAAGACAGTATTCAGAGTATTTAGGAAAGAAAAAAATGACCAAAACAAGCAGTCAAACAGCACATTTTCATCTCCTGATTTGTTTTCTATGATACATACAAAGAAAATCACACTACTTCACACTTCTCTGAGTCTTTTCAGTATTGACTGTACAGTAACAGGCAAAGGAACGTGATCCAGCAGAAGCTGAGTTTATGGCCAAAAGACAGGGTGTCGCTCTTCCTATTACACCTGTGCATGCCGGTATTTCTTCTCCAAGGGTGAAGTACTTTTCTCTTGGCTTCTGTAACTGTTCTTGAAGAGCCCATAATGGTCTTCTCAGAGTTGATGTCATGTATTTGTGTAAATGTGGCTACAAAACACTGTCTCCAGGTATTTTTACATCATTCAGCAAAGATAAAGTAGCATTACATTATAAACTCTGGTCACCTGTAACTATGGTTTTCAACAATTCAAGATGAAGCTGTGCTTCATTTGTTCGGGACACACTTTAGATTTCATGCTTTAAACAGTTTTATGGATGATAGTTTGGACCGAAGTTTTCTTATTGTGATATAAGAATTAAGGATGATTAAAATACTTGTAATTATCTTAGTGGTGGGGCTTGCATAATTATAGCAGCTTATTCTGCACCCTGGTTCAATTCCACTGGAGAACGCAAGTTGCCCTGAAAAGACAATTCTATCTGAACCAGCATTTGAAAAAGTGAAATTTCAATTCTGCTAAGCTGATATACTGTAGTATGTCCTGTAAATGTTCTTCTTGTTTCACAGTTCATCAGCTAACACTGGACTTCAGGCTGTTTATTAAAAACACTAATCATTAGTTCATTTAAAAGCATTAGATTCAGTTTCAAATATAAGGCATATGTTTGAGAAACAAACATGACCCACTGAGTATCATTTGAGGGCTGTGAGTGCTCTGTTAATTTGAAAAACACACTTTAAATCAAGATTTAAAAACATCTTTGCACCCTGAACACTTGCATTAATCCTGTGTATAGACAGAGTGGGCTTGCAATCACTACAACTCTATTTAGCCTTTCTAGATCTAACCAAAGGAAACATTTTCTTTCTTCCTTGTCAAAACAGTGGAAGTATCCGCTCAGGAGATATGATTTATTTGATAGAAATGTTCACAGCAGATATTTAAGTTCTCACAATGGCTCATTCCTACAGAGATTGACAGCTGACTGAGTTTATTGCCTGGTTATCACACCAAGTCAAATTCTAACAATGACTAATGCTTTGCACAGCTGTAACTGCTCTCTGAACTACCTCATGTAATCGATTAAACTTGAATCAATGTTACGGGAGCGTTTTACAATGTGGAAGCATTTTTGCTTGTTCAATGCAGCCAACAAACTTACCCCCTGTAGGAGTATACGCATCAGGAACTCCAGCGTATGAGTCAAAAATTATATTTACATGCAGCCAGGCAAGCACAGGATTTGTTTCCTCAGCTGGTTTATGAGATACAGTCTTGATTAAGTGACCATCTTCTAAAGCATTGATTTGAACACTACAGATACTCCGGTGCACATAGCCAACATTAAATGTATCAGCTTACAGCCACCTTCTGAATGCAGCAGAAACAATAACAGCATCGCTCACTCCCAGCATGCTGTACTCGGGATTTCCAGCTACATCAAAACACTACTCCTGCTGTTCATGCAGTCTTTAAAGTGTCCAAGCAGCTCGGAGTATGCAAGTGAGCCCTTCTCCAGGCCACACAGTGCAGGTTGCATGGGCTTCCACAGCCTCGCTGAACTGGGAGTTTGACGACCTCTGGCTGTTTTCGGTGTCCACAGCCAAGGTCTTCTTTTTTCTCTCAGGCTATCTGAAGGGCACCCTCTTCTGTCCAGCACCCAAACTGCAGCACCACAGTAATTTTCACAGATGTTTCTTGATTCTGTAAATGAAAATTGCAGTACTGAAGTTTCTCTGTGAGATTAGTAATACCATGATCCAGCCTGCTCCATGATAGATAGAAGACTGTTCTGCATATGTTAATGAAGACAACAGGTGTAAAGGAAAATTAAAATATTACATGGAAAGCAGGAAAATTTACAATGGGTAGGATTGATAGAACTGTTTTTCCAGCAGAAATGCAGGCACCTCAGTTATAAGGAGTACGATGAATGTTATTCACTGCATAATTCTCTGAAGAGCTATCCTTGCCGAGTAAATGTAAGAAGCTTACTGTTTTTTTCTGGGTGGATTGTCTCAAATTCCAAGCTTTCATTACAACAATCCAGGACTAGGAATTGTTGCCATGTCTGCTTCAGAAAGAGGTTGTTTCACTTGGTTTTGTCAAAGTTTTAGGGAGGCAGTGTCTGTCCCAGTTCATATCCATCCCCACAGGTATGTATTTATTTAATTGAAACAAAAGAAACCTTCTCCCTCCCTTGTTCAACATCTTTCTCTTACAGCAATGCAGGGGAAAGAAAAAAATTCCCCCGTTTTTTTTTAGAACAAGGAAACCTGTGACACATGGTCACAGCAAAATACTTTACAGGTTTTATGAATTCAAGATTTCATAATATATTTGAAGGTAATAAGAGACACACTGCCTGTATCAATAAGAGATGCACTGCCATACAAATGCATAACTAAGCACTGACCTCACTGAATTTTTACCATACTTCATTGTCATATCCTGTGTAATTTTAGACCAGAAGAATATTTACTTGGATGGGGTATAAAACAGGGTGTATCTCTTTTGATCCTGCAATTTTTCATTTTATTACAGCCACCTAATCATGCAGTTAGATATAGATTTATCTGGTGGATAAAAGATCCCTGTGTTTTCCACAATTATGGGAATTTAAGCATTTACATTAAATCTACTTTCTTTTGCACAATTTGTCTTCAGAGAAGCAGCTAAAAAAAAGACTTCAAAATAATCAGAATTTTAGAATCAGTAATTCTATCCTTACATTTACAGAGAAAATTTCTACAATGTGGAAACATTCTTTAAAAATATTAAAGACAGCAATTGGTAAAAATGTGTACTGTAGCTAAAGAACTAGCAAATATAACTCTCCTTGCTATCAGAGCTTGTATACACCAGATTGCCCCCCTAACCCTGGCAAATACAGTTGAGGAGCTTTAACGAATTTGCCGCACTAAATTGCATGTATGAGTGACACCTGTGGGATGCTGGAGAAGATGAATGTTCCTTCCCTTATGAATTTGCTCCTGCATACATGGGGTACTGAACCCAGAGACACACCAGGGTACAGACTAGGAAAATCTGAATGCCCTTAATGAGAAGAATAATAAAATGGAATAAAGTGTGGTAGTGTAAATGCTCTGTCGTGCTGCTGGGGAGCAACAAGAAGAGTCTTCACAATGAGCTGAGAGCTGGAAATACAAGATAAGAGTCACAGAAAACTGAGAGAAAACTGTCAGCCACTGTGGGGCACTATGAGCCACTCAAACTATGAGGCAAAAAGGGCAATAGCTGTGAAAAAGGTAAGTATCACAAAGAATGCAAAGGAGAGGTGTTTCTGGTAAAGATACCTGAATATTGAATAATTCTGAATTCTCATCTCAAATGCCGTCTGTGTACTCTTCAGGAGAGATGAATTCACTTTGGACTGCAGCTACTTGGATGAGCACACAGAACCCCTCTCTGACATGTGCAGTATGATTTAGTCTGTAAAAATAAAGGTTGACAGGTGCTACAATCTGCTTAAATATTGCAGAAGGAACTTTCAGATTCGAATATTCCCTTGAGCAAAATTAAAACTCATACAAGTTATTATAAGATTAGGCTGAAGTACAGAATTGCAATTCAGTTCCTTTCAGGACATACCCATTAGGATCAGAAAATTATGACAGAATTTAAGATTATCTGGTTATGCCAAGAGTTATAGTTCTATAAATTACATTTCCTTGAGCAAAGCAGAGATCAGTCTTTGATTGCCGAAGCAAAAGAGAGCAACAGGTCAGCTGGGATATAGCGAATATCTATTTATGGTATGATTAACATTATGAATTTTCAGTACTACAGGAGATTGACAAGAATTATTTACATTTTCAGGTGTGGTGCATTTTGGCTATATTGTCTGATATTACTGTACACTGTAACCTGGCTGCCTACAGATATATTTTCATACTGTATTTTAAAATTTTTATAGTTTGACAGCCATAGCTGAATCAATGCTGAGATTTTGATCTCTTTTGGCAAAAGACCTTAGTTTTACTATGTATTCGTACTACTAATGCAGTGAGAAAGAGAAACAAAAAAGTCTTCTTTCCCTTTTCTGTTACTCTTGGGGAATAAGTATTTAAAACAAACAAGTACACACCTTTCCATAGTTCTCGTTTCCATCTTTAACATCTTTAACTCCTTAGCTCTGCCGGCGGATTGTCGTGCCAAACACGTTAAGTGGTTGAGAAAAGAAAGCAGAATCTCTCTCTCGTTTAGTCCTTCTAATCACTTGTACATAACTTAAAACTAGGAGTGGTAACATAATAGAGATAATTTGTTGCCTAACTCCCGATTGACTTAAACCACGTCCAGCAGTTTCTCAGAAACGACAAAAAACAAAAATGTCAACTTTGCAAATAAGTTAATTTCCTACTGCAATAATATTGATTATAATTTTGGAAAAAGAGAGAAAACAAAACAAAATCTTTAATTTTATCCCAAGTGCAAGAAATGTATGGTCTGTATTGAAAAGACCTGAAATGCACCTGATGTTGTAATTAGTATGACTAACAATACCTTTAATATGCCTTCAAGTAACCCTTATTCGTTTAGTTATATCACAAATCAAAAAGTATTCACTCTCAATCTATCATTAGTAATTCTCACGAATAAGAGGAGCCAATCTGTGGCTCCAGTGAGCCTAGCCCGAGACTGAGAAGATGATGCAGAAAACAGTAAATCAGAGAAACTGTTCTAGTTGCTTTTGTCATCTTTGTATTAATCAGAACAATAACTACAGCCATGCATTAGCCATTCAATGCAGGCCATGCATCTTGAAGAACAAAATGCATTGGTTTTTATTCTTTATTGTATAGCAGGCCTCTTGCCCTAATAGATCCCTGAATCTACTATTCCAAAGTTAAGAAAGTCTCTGTCACCAACAATGTGTTTTAACTTATTCTTTCTGTATGTAGTGTTATATTGCTAGCAAGCAAGAATCAGAGTTAAAATCAAAACTTGCATTTGTCTCCAGTATAGAAAGTTATAATGTGATTAAATTTGTATTATAAATTTAGCTGGAATTTGAAAACAAATTCAAAATTCTATATCATATCCAAACTAGAATAACTTTAAAAGAATGAATTGCCAGTATAGTTTGAATAATACTGTCAAATTACCAGACAATACTATAGTTATAGATATTATATTTCTGTTGCCTTTATAAAAATTGGTATTGTTTTGTTACACTGATTGTTTTACAATGCTTATGTTTATATATGTTTCGTCCCAGTAGTTTTATAATGATAAAACTTTCAAAGATTATTTCACAGAAATGTAGGACTACGTAAGACCTTGAGAAACCACACTGACTGAACCTCTCATTTCTGTTCACTTCTTCTGCATCTCCTATAGTTTGTCTACATCTTTTTAGAATTGTGGAAAAAGCAGATACAGAGTTCCAGCTGAGGTGTCACCAGTGTTGAGCATACCAGAATAATTTGTTTCACTACCTTGTTGTAGCCAGCACAGCAGGTGATGGTTTCACAGCCAGCAATGAAGGAGTCCCGAAGGCAGAATACCTCACTGAGATGAGCAGGTTTCTCTCTCTCAGTCATTCTCTGAGAGGTGTCCCATGGGGAAAAAAAGCAAAGCCTTTGAAACCGTCTCCCACAGCATTCTCCTGGAAAAGCTGGCAGCCCATGGCTTGGACAGGGGCACTCAGTGCTGGGTTAGGAACTGGCTGGAGGGCTGGGCCCAGAGTGGTGGTGAACGGGGCTGCATCCAGTTGGTGGCTGGTCACTAGTGGTGTCCCCCAGGGATCAGTGTTGGGCCCAGTCCTGTTTAATATCTTTACTGATGATTTAGATGAGGGGATTGAGTCCACCATCAGCAAATTTGCAGGTGACACTAAGCTGGGGGGGAGTGTCGATCAGCTTGAAGGCAGGAGGGCTCTGCAGAGGGACTTGAATAGGTTGGAGAGTTGGGCTGATTCCAGTGGGATGAGGTTCAACAAGGCCAAGTGCCGGGTCCCCTACTTTAGCCACAACAACCCCATGCAGTGCTACAGGCTGGGGACAGAGTGGCTGGAGAGCAGCCAGGTAGAGAGGGACCTGGGAGTTTGGATTGACAAGAAGCCAGCAGTGTGTCCAGGTGGCCAAGAAGGCCAATGGCATCCTGGCCTGTATCAGGAACAGTGTGGCAGCAGGTCCAAGGAAGTGATTCTTCCCCCGGACTCAGCGCTGGTGAGGCCACACCTGGAGTACTGTGTCCAGTTCTGGGCCCCTCAGTTCAGGAAGGACATTGAGGTCCTGGAGCAGGTCCAGAGAAGAGCAACGAGGCTGGTGAAGGGATTCGAGCACAAGTCCTATGAGGAGAGGCTGAGGGAGCTGGGGTTGTTTAGCCTGGAGAAGAGGAAGCTCAGGGGAGACCTCATCATTCTCTACAACTACTTGAAAGGAGGTTGTAGCCAGGTGGGGGTTGGTCTCTTTTCCCAGGCAACTATCAGCAAGACAGGAGGGCATGGTCTTAAGCTGTGGATTCTCCGTCCCTGGAGGATTTTAAGATAAGACTGGATGTGGCACTTAGTGCCACGGTCTAATAACCGCAGCAGTAGTGGATCAAGGGTTGGACTTGATGATCTTGGAGGTCTCTTCCAACCCAGCTGATTCTATGATTCTATGTCTTCCTTGATGTGTTGTGGCGGTTTTTTTTCAAAACCACCTTTCCTGTTGGGACCACAGCTCTTTCAAATCCATTTCTCTGACACAGATGTTCTGCCCACTATACGAAATGAAAGCCCTCTCACTTGACAAATGAGGGACAGTACAGCCTAACTTTTATCTCTCCACCTTCTCACTTTGCAGAGCGAAGAGGCCAACAGCTACCTGTCCTAATCTTTGGAAGACACACTTGGGAGAAAGATGGCAAAGACTGAGCCACAACTGCCCAATCAGGTTGTGCAGATCTGGGCATCCCTTTACAATCATTGTCACATCATAAAACTACCACAATACCAGTACCAGCACTGTTTATCACAGTTCACCTTCACATTGCTTACAATCGGTGATACTGTAAATGAAGGAAGATTGAGATAAGGCCAAACCTGTCCACTTCAAGTCTTTTCAGACAAATGCATATTACTTTTTAAAACAGAAATAAATAATGTATTAGGTAACAAGCTGGTTTTCTCTTGCTTGCCTGTATAACAACTATCATCTAGAATACTTAATATGGAATACATAACTCTCCCAAACTAATGCTATATTTGTAGTCCCACTCCACAGCACTACAGTGAAAGGGGCAAACATCATGTGAAATGTGCAAATGGACCTGTACTGTCAAAGAAGTAACAAGCTGATATACCAGGAACACTGCCAGAGAACTTATTTCAGTGCGTGTCATAGAAGCCCACCTGGGACTCTAGTTACTCATATGGATACATCTAGATCCAGCACATTCCAGCAAAGACACTGCAAATGAAACTCACTCAAAAGTTAATTAAGGCTTTTATGCACATGGAACTGTTTCTAATTAATTCCATATGAGGCCATTCCTTAATACAGAAGTGCCTCATTCCATTTTAGTTAAAACAAACTGGTTTGTTCAGAAATGAGTTGCCCATAAATAGAATTAATCAAAATAATTTGTAGACTATTTTAATTACCTGTGACAAAACAGGATTAAAAACACCTAACCAGTAGGCTTTAATTCCTAGATTTAGAGGTCTATCTGTAGGGATCTCCCTGTAAAAGCACCTTAAATTAAAAATGTGATAAAAATATTAATTAGCAATATTTTGACTTTTTAAAACAGGTACAGAAAAAAATCAAAGAAAATACATCATTGTGAAAAGACACAAGTCTCAAGTTTCTGAAAAATGGCTTTTAGTTTTCAGGCCTTGTAAATGCCTCCGTCCTCTGACTTCATAAAAAACTCGATTTGAGAAGGATTTGTAAAATCACATTGCTCTCAAATCAAGTGCACCTAGCAGGGAGTTAATGACTTCAGGCTTAATGAGTACAAACACTGCAACAGAAAAAACCATGGTATAATACCAGAAACTATCTGAACATATTTGTTGGCTTCCTCTGGCAAAAGAATGTTTAGGAAGCTATTGTCCTTCCTACAGGATTCTAACTGCTTTAGAAAAGAGCCTTAGATATGAAGTTTGCAAAAGATTTTGTAGGATTTACTTACACAACAAAAATTTTAATATGCCTGTGATACAGACTGAATGTAACTTTTTTTTTTTGGCGGTATATTCATCTTAGCTCTGAGTTCCACCACAAATGCAGTTACACTAAGCAAAACATTTGTGTGAGAAATGGAAACCCAATCGGGCAATTTCCAATCAGAATTTTATTATATGATAAAAGCAAATTCAGCGCTGGGTGATCAGGGAAGGGGTCCAACAACTCCCAACGCCTGTCACACCCAATGAAGACATTTGTTCTACATTTATTTCCAGCTACTACATGAATATTCATTATACATAAGTATAAACATTACACATTGTTAGGTCAGACTTTCAGCAAATGTTCGCTTGTTATCTATACAAAGTTATAAATTTTAAGAAAGGTGCTATTACCTAGCTAACTAAACAAAATTCTCTCACCATACATCCTACACAAGGTAAAAGGGAGGTAACTTGTTTTTTCTCTTTATAGGGGCCCAATTAAGTTTTACGACTTGTTTTTCTTTTCTCTCCAGGTCATAGTGACCTTACACTCTTTTCTCTTAATTAGCTCGAATCATTTTCTTAGTTTATCACATTTGCATAATAATAATACCTATTTCAGCTATTTGACATGGAGACATTAACTGTGTTTAAGTCGTTAGACTTTGTATGACATAACCAGTACCTGTAACTTTATCAGCAAACCCGCCAATTGTGGACAGTCATATGCAAATAATCCTCGACCATCAAGGAAAGCGCCGTCTGTCTGGAGTCCGTCTGTCTCCAGCTCAACATGCTGTTAACTCTCTGTAACTCTCCGACAGCTAGCTAAAACTATTATTATTCCACTCTTGACTGTTTAACGCTTTGTGCAAGAAAGGAGAACACAAAGCAGAAACGTAGTATTTACTGTAAATTTTTAATTCTGCTACCGATCTCATGAGGTGATAAGTACCTCTTCCTTCTCACTTCAGTCTGGACAATGTTAGCCTCATGGCATCCATAAATAAACCGAAGCAGCCTCATAACTGTACCAACGTGGAAGGCAAACCCCTGCGGGAGGCTAAGCAAATCTGAGCTAACGCTGTGATCTGAAAGCGGCTGAAAGATAGGTACGACAAAAGTTTGTAAAATCGTGCATGGCATAAAAATTTGACAAAAGCACCAACACTGTCTGTTAAGTCCTGAATGAAATGGCTCTAATTGTCAGGAGAAAAGCTTAAGCAATCAAGTACTTTTTCCATGGAATGCCGATTTGCCTTGTGGTCCCTGGCGCCAAACTGTGTTTTGCAGGCCTGAGTTCAAGAAGTGACCAGAGAAATTTATAGGAAAAAATCATGGAGTATTTTCAAAGCCACAGTACAAAATAAAGTGTGTATCAGCTTTCCTACAGTGATTGAAGTTATTCGGGTTAAAATTTAAAAAACCTGTCATAATTTAAATGCCTAAATGCTAATCCTAATTAATTGGTAATGTTAAATATACACTTGACCACAGAACAACTTCGTACAATGATTTCAGCATTGTCCTGACTTAGATTATGGATAACTCAAGTATATATGGTTTAGGTCTTAAGTTTTCACTTAATTATTGCCTGTATGAGTTAAACTTATTATCAGACTAATTAAAGTGTTCTAAAATAATGCGATTTCTAGAAAAATGAGCTCCAAAAAGAATTCCACTACTGAAAATTAAGTAAATGGATTAATGTTGAAAATAATCGTCTGGTTTTCATCTGAATCAAAGGGGAAAAAAAGTGATTTTGTTGGAATGTTATCAATGCAGAAACTAATTGTGGGTTTTTTTTAATATAAGCTATTAGTGTTCCCTTACTTCTTAGAGTCAGGGGGGAAAAATACAAGAAAAATCAGTCTGCAAACGATCCACTACATTTCAAAGGATTTTAGCATGCCAGTAAGAATATGGATTCGGGTTTGCTTACTGAGGCCAGTAGAAACTCTTAGGGGTTTCAATGCAAATTATAACAGCATGGAATTTTTTTTTGAAGGCAAATATTCATCACAACATTATAATATATGCCCTTAAATAGCTATCCCGATGCAAACAACCATAAAAGAAATGTCCAAAGCTTGACTAGATATAGAATAACCCTTTAAAACTGACTGCTGTGAAACATATGTGGCATTTTCTCTTCAGCACAAAATAGGAAACTCAGAAAAGAGACATTCAAATTCTATTTGGTAACTCAGCATCTTTTTCTCTGGCACGCTTGTCTAAAACTTCTTCTCTTTTTCTTAACCTAATAGCTTGAATATATTTTTATACCCTTCTTTTCACATTCACATATCCTCTCAGAATAGTTAGCTGCTTTAGCTTTACAGAAAGACTCAACATGATTCTCAAGAAAAGGTCCCAAAATTGTAGAGTCAGGAGAAATGCTGGAAAAATTCAAATGCTGTATGATACTCTTGCTATCCAGATTTAGTTCTACTTCTAAGAAGACTAAATCTAATCTGAGTTTTAAGGTATGTAGTTCTGTACTTCTGACTATTAAATTTCAAGATGTAACCACTAATATTTCTATCAGATTGGCAATTTTTCATCACATTTTTTGTAGAATCCTCATCCACTGCAGCCTATCAGATCTGAAAACGGAGGCTCTCCCTGCATTATTCTGATTTAGCAAATTAATTGATGTACCAATTTACTAGTTAATGAAAAAAAAGGCAAAATAAAACCTTGTATTGAAGTGGTAATTACTATATGGTGTAGCAAAATATAAAATTTGTTTCTTTTTCTGCTACTCAGTGCATTTAACAAACTAAATCTAAAAAATAAAAAATCTACTGAGCAATAACTCTTCCAACAGCAATACTGATAAAACAAAGACAATAATTTCCTACTCCGCTCCCCCCACCTCTTTTGAGATTTGTGTATTGGCAATCGGATATGTCTGTCACGTATTGGCCTCACAAGCCACCAGGGTGCCTGTAGCAAATGTGGATAGAGCCTTCCCAAATCTTCCTTCCGGAAGCCTAGCCATGAAAATGAATTGGCAGCAGAAGATAAACTACCCTCTCCTTTATTTTAAGTAACAGATGTTCTATAATTTTAAAAGCTAATACCAAGTTAAGGAAAAACAGGACACAAACCTGACCCAAACTCACCCCACAGAAGCTCAGAAGGACAGCTTCCTAGAACTAGAATCTATAATGCCTTGTTAAGGGTTGCTTTTCTATAGCAACTACAGTGTTCTGCTTCTGCGTTGGAATCACATTAGATTTGCTAAAAGAGGACAACATTCACCATAATTTCCACAGCCAAAGGTAAAGAATTCTTTATCTTGGACCAGCATTCATATTATCACTTTCAGGACAGCTATCTTCCATTTAATAGCAAACAAGAAATCCTTCTGAATACTTGCAGTTAGGGCCATAAAAGAGGAGTAAAGTACACATTCAATCCACCCCCAATCTGGCTTCTGCTCTATTTTGGACAATTAAGACTAGGTTTAGTTTCAGGATTTATTAAAAGGAGAAATACTCCCTTTGCACTTAAGAAATAGTGATACTAACTTGTTGTCACTCCTAAGGTCAAATATTATTCCATTTTTTAAAAGTAAATACTATGTATTATTTTCCCCTCATTGTTGGGAGTCCATTTTCAAAATCTCAGCCATTGCAAATAAAAATATAGATCTTATAAAGTATTGTAGAATATGTCTTTTATTTAAGTAAGGAGGCATTAGGTGCAGGAAAGCCAACACTTACCTTTAGATAATACTGCAATCCCAGCAGCTTTAACATAACAAAATCTCTTTAACATAAATACAACTTTTGTGATCAGGGCTTTGTTACTGCTATTACCTAAACCAACTCTGGGGCCAGGTATATCTAGTGCAGCAGTTTACTTTTAATATGTGATTACTCATGTCACTTGGTGCACTGTTAAAAAAAACCCCTAAGCAATACAAGAAACAAAATTTCATCGGAAAAAAACATCTTACGTGTTAGATACATTCCAGTTTGTCAATTTGGCCTTCTACTTTCATTTTTCATCCTAAAAAAGGATCATTCTTATGCTTTTGCCATTAAAAAACCCCGCATAAATAAAACATTTTACTAACCTAGCTCGGTTAGAGGTTGGGTTAATTTTGTCAAGACATCCATAAGTTTCCCCTCTCTCTGGAACTTTCAAAAATCAGAATCTGTTCTAAACATCTGACACCAGTGGCAAAAAACTATTTAAAACTTATTTCCAAACCCTGTCGTTTTATTGTAGAACCAGAGAGTTTCCTTCTAGAAAGGTCTTCAGCCACTGGTGATGAAACAGCAAGCTGCTTTTCAGTACAGGCCGTCACACCATGGAAACAGATTGCTCTAGAATAGCTATATAACATTGGTTCATGAAACAGCGATGAGAAAGCTACAGCTTCTGTCTGAAAAGCTTTGTCTCAAAGGTTCTTCAACAACACACCAGTGCCACAAACCAAGTTTAGAGCGAGTTCTCGTAAAAAATGCCAAGAGCTGCTGCCATCACACGCACTCAGCAGCAACATCCCGCGCAACAATGCCGCAAATGACAGGCCAGCCGTCGCTTTGCCTCCAGGTGTTTCAAACATGTGCAACACCAAGCGGAGGACCCAGACCGGGACGGGGCCGGAGAGCACCGGGAGCTACATGAGGGGCGGAGAGAACGAATGTGAGAAACCCACTCGGGTTGGTATAAGCCTCTTCCCCGCCCCTTTCCACTTGGGGCTACTTAAGAAGGCGGCCGCAGGGGGTCTCGGTGACACTCAGGACCTGTCTATACTGTCCCTAATTTTTCTCAAAAAATATCATTTTGCTTTTGTTTTAAAAGCTTCATTTTTTGGTGTGTGGGCGCAGCCTCGGCATCGGTGAATGATGGTAGGTGGAGGGAAGAGAAATGGGCGCCGTCCCGGGACAGAGGGTACTGGGGTGCTGGGAGGTAATGCGAGGAGCATGAACGCGGAGCCGCCGGGAAGAAATTTTTTACAGAGAGGGTAATCAGGCGGGGTTATGTTGCCTTATAGCGCTGTGACGGGGCGGAGCCCCTGAGGGCTACTAGCATTTAAAACACCTTGAAGGTTTTAAAATCTAACGAGATGAGGGGTTAAGGTTATGGAGGGAGTGCCGCGAGTGAAAAGCCACAGAGTTGTGCGAGGGAAGCTGGGGGTCGGCCTTACGGTCTGGCGAGGGCTTGGCGACGGACCGGCCTTCACACCCATGAGCGGCCATTTTATGGCGGCAGCGCCGCCATATGGACTCAGCTGCTCGCTGCCGCGGTGCTGCTGCCCTGCGCACGGCGCTTCGCCTGTCCCCGGGCGGCGTACCCCGCCGCGCTTAGGGTCGGCGGGAACCCTTGTCGGGGGCTTCTGAACAGCTTCCATTGTCCTCAGAGAGGATCTGAGGAGTGCGAAACCTCTTTCTCCGCGCCACGTCGGCGCTGGGCATCTGAGGTGCGAGGGCGTAAAATGGCGGCGGCACCACGGGCCCCGCTCGCCCGAGGTTCCCCGTTTCTCGCCCGAGGTTCCCCGTTTCGGCTTCCCTCACCCGCCAGAAACAAACTCCGCCCTCGCCCAGTGCGCTGCGGGCGCCGTGCGGGGAGCGGGAGCAGCTGCCGTCCGCGCACCGACAGCTCACTTCCTATTTGTTCTTAGTGTTTTGGTTTTTTTTTTAATTTGAAAACCGAGACTTGCGACTGAAGCGTAGACGCTTCAAACAGTATACGAGTAAAGTGTTCTTTTGGTTTGTTTTTTTTTTTTTTTTTTTTTTTAGCCTCTTTAGTATCAGCTGTTAGCGTGCAGTGCTGGGCCGAGAGCTCCTCTTGTTGCCCATCGGGAAGGCGGCGGTGGGAGCGCTGTCATGGAAACTGCGCAGCGGGACGTGAATCGTAGGGTTCAAATGTTAAAAAAAAAAGGGCAGGAAGTGTAATGCTTACTTTAAACAAAGAGCGTGTTGAGGCCGGCGGGAAGCCTGAGGGACTGGGGGCTTGTGCATTTGTGGCCAGAAGAAAAGGTTTTCCTCTCCTAGATCAGCGTTAAATTGAGCGATGTTTGCAACCCATTTGAGCAGCCACCTGGTTCTAACAATAGTCCATTTTCACCTTTCGCCAAAAGACTAATGAGGACATAAGTCCAATTTCCAGACATCAACTTAAACTTCATGCTTGCTGGAATAATGGAGAGAGCAAACTGACTAATTTTACCTTGTGATGAGAAAAGGAAAAAGATTTGTTAATTCCAGTAAGCTGAAATTTATTTTTGAATTGGCAAAAGTTCTGCATCAGAGTACTGAAGTCTTGAAAATTAGCTTTAAAGGAAGATTGTGTTTCTTGTGTTCGTACTGTGAGGCTCTCACCCCTGTGCATTTTTCATCTCTTCGAGTTCTAAGAAACACTTGTATTAACTATTAAAGCTTATTTTTTATGCTTACCAAATTGCCAGAATGTCTAAGTAGCCTATTCATTCTTTCTTTCAGCTATTTAATGTGTAAAAGGGTTAAATAAGTGTATTATCCTTGAAGGTTCTGTTCTGCATCGTTAGTGAGACAGGAATGCTCCTCTTCCACGGCAGCCGAGGGTGTGTATGACAGGTGTACCAGCAGTATCTGTGCACCAGCCTGCTTCCTTGTGCTGGTTCTGCTTCTTGCTGGGTGGGTACTTCTGCTGAGAGCTGTTTCCCGTTCTAGGCTGCCAGAGAATTTGCACAGCAAAGTGAATACTACTTCTGTCGTGGTTTGCTGGAACAGATTTAGAAAGAAAGAAGCCAACAGTTATGTCAGTTTGAGGTTGCAGTTCAAATGCCCTTTTAGCTGGGTAGGCAGCCAAAGAAGTGGTCTTCTCACTTTTTGCTTCATTTTTGTCGTTGATGTCTATGTGATATCTACAGGAAGCTGCAGGCATTCTGATATCTTAAAGTGTAATAGGTCGACTAATAAGTGTTTTTGTTGATATTTTTCAGTCTGTAAATGTGGAGACCCAATGTGCGAGTGCCTCAGAGAGTAACACCTATTCATCAACAGTCAGTCAAGGTTATGTTTTACCAGAAGGAAAAATCATGCCAAACACAGTCTTCGTTGGTGGAATTGATTTAAGGGTATTTATATATTCATACACTTTTAATTGTTTAAGATATGTACTTCAGTGGGAAGAAAATGGAAATTTAACTCTGGGTTTGTGGGGGGCTTTTTTGCATAGTGGTGGTGGGGTTTGTTTGTTTTTTTTTTTCATGTGTGCGTTTTGTTAGTCTTAAGGTATTGAAAAGCCATGGGAGAATTTTGGAACAGGTGTGCCAAAACAAACCTTTAGCTCTTAAGCTAGTAGGAGATGGGCTTAAAAAGATGGTACTGTTTGCTTCAAGTCAGTTCTAAGCAGTCGAATGTGTTTGAAGAAGTTCAAGACTTCGTTTTCTTTTAGATGAAAGAGGCAGAAATTCGGACTGTCTTTGAACAATATGGTGCTGTGAAAGAGGTGAAAGTAATCACTGACAGAACTGGTGTTTCGAAAGGGTGAGTACAACATGAGTGGTTGTTTTAAATTGCTGCTTATGCATAATTCTGTCATAGGTAATATGAGCAGATACTTAGCAACACACTTGACATGCTTAAGCCGTAGTGCTAGCTGTAGTTTTCTGTTTTGGTGAATTAACACTGTTAAACCAGTAAATCTGTATTGCCCCTAACTAAGTCTGTGTAATCTTACAAAGAACAGCCTGATTTTTCTGGCTTCAGTCTATCCGTTCAAGGAAAAGAGGGTTATTGTCCCTTAACCAGTGGAAGCAGAGCTTTAAACTTGTGTCATGCTTATGCAGACAGTTCTTCTGCAGAGCTTTTCTGATGGTGAGAGTAGTTAAAAATCTAGAGAGAGTTCAGGATGGTTAAGAGAATCAAGATGGATTATGCAGAGCAATGGGACTGCACTCTTCTGACACTTGGCAATAAGTTCTAGATTAAAACCACCCAAACTCACTTGGGTAAAGAGTAAAACTGAGTATGTGAACAAAGTTCAAACAAGGGAAATTCCTGTTGGGTATATAGAAAAAAATCTGGATTATTGTGGTGAAACCCTTAAATAAGGAAATGTAGGACCTTAGCCTGTTGAATTCTGGGGAAGCTATCCCAGTTTTGAGGTTATCTCTGCTTCGAGGAGGAGAATGTGCTCTCTGGGGTTTTCTCCAGCCCAATTTTTTCTAAGATTCTATGCATAGATTCAAAGAAGTCACATTTTTTTAGGCATATGTAGTAATGCATGAGCTGGAAATGAGTTTTATTTGCTCATATCCATTGCTAGTCCTTACAGTGAATCCTGATGTGCAATTAACCAGTGCATGTTCTGAGTATTGATAATGAATTGACTGACTTGATTAACTGGACACAGTTTTTAATATAGTAAACTAGGGAGGCAGTGAAATAAAGAGAAAAATCTCTTCAAGGATTGCTTCCCCCACTGGTGTCACTATTCCTGTAATTCCTGCTTTTGTCCAGACCTCTATAGTAAATACAAAATGTGATGATAGTTCAGATCTTAATTTTTTTACCTTTCTGAGTTATTAATACCAACAGCAGTACTCATTTTAAGAAGTTGAAATGGAAAAATAATCTTTGTTTCATATTAGTCTAGAATCTGTCATTCACCTGGCCTAGTAGTAGATGCTACTAGTTAGCAGTAAATACTTTCTCAGGCTGAATCATAAACTAATGTCCTACTTGATGTGCAGTATAACATACCTGGCATATATGTTGTTAACTGGTCTTGTTCTAACAATCAGATCAAACTCTGATCACTGAATAGCCTGTTTTTCCTTTTTAGATATGGATTTGTGTCTTTCCTGGAGAATGTGGATGTTCAAAAAATAGTAGAAGTAAGCTCTTTTGCTAAATTATTCGAAGTTGATTTATGAAGGCTAGAGACAGGTTCAAGGGAAGCCAACTTCCTAACGTAGAGTAAGTTAGAACTAGGAAAGTCTAGGGCAGCCGAAAAAGTAAACTTGATAAACTATCTGCCAGTGGTAGGATCTTTATGTATTTACTTAAGTAAGAAACAAAATTAGTGTTAGCCTTGGTGTGTTTGGATGCTTGCTTTTTGTAGTGGATGATTGTCATAGAATCCTTGTCCTTATGTCAGATACACAGACCTTTTATTATTGGAGATAACATTATCATGGAAGACAGTTTTTTACTTGACATCTCAGCAGATGCAGTATGTTTCTCTTGCAGTATTTGTGCATTTTTGTGCTTCTTGGAGTGCAAGTATTTTTTAAGCTTCTTGGACGGTGCTGCAGCTGTTCACGTGTTATAAATTTCCCGTAGTTAACACAGGAGATGAGGGTTAGAACTGTTATAGCCCTTCTGCTCTTACAGTTCATTATCAGGGAAATTTTAAATCTCAGTGTTTACAGCCAAATCAGCTGCTTGGTTCTGATGGACTTCAGTAGGTCTCAAACCATGGACAGAGCTTTTTGTTTTCCCTCTTTCTTCCCAAACTGAGTACAGTAACTGTGAAAATAAATGTATTGAAATACTTCCCTCTCTGAAGCAGTCGTTTCCTTTAGTGTAGGTGCACAGTTTGTAATATGTTACGTGAAGCCTGTCAGGAAGTTGGTGGGAATGAAGGGAAGTGCAAATGTAAATAGAGTTTCAAGGGAACCTAAGCTGTGGTCACTCTGTATTAATATTCTCACTGAGGCAAGAATAGTTAAAACTTGTATGTATAAAACCACAGGGCTGGCAGTCACTAATATGTGGTTGCAAGCTACTAGTAGCGCATGTTGCTATTAAGGCAAGTGATAAGAAACAAGTGTGGAGACAGTGAGTAGGCAAATGAGAGTGCTGAGGGCACTGCAGGAAATTAAAGATAAGACATACAGTGTTAAGAAGGAGAGGAGAATTGCACCCGTTTGTCAGTTGATGGTACTGTGGTATAGAAGCAGAGTCCAGTCTCCTTAAAATCCCACAGACCAGTCACCTCATTGATTCCTTACAGAGGATTAACTGTCTTTCAGACACAAATCAACTTCCACGGCAAAAAGCTGAAACTGGGACCAGCGATTAGGAAGCAACAAAACCTGAGTGAGTATATCTAAATAAAACTGTTCATATAACAAATATGTATTAACAGGTTTTTTTCTTAATTATACATCAATATTCTTGCAGATACTCTTTATCTGATGCAGTATGTATGTTACAATTAAGCCTTGGTTCTGACTTCTATGACCTCACTTGTATAAATGATGTACAGCTGTGATAATAAAACTTGTGTTGGTAGCACAATATAATACAGTTAATGTTGAGTTAAATTTAAAAGTCAAAAGTCAAGATTTTTTTCAGCTTACTTTCAGATTCTTAATGAAATACATGTGAAAAGGCCTTAATACTATTTTTTCTTTGCTTCAGAACAAGCTTCTTCCATACATCCCAGACCGTTTGTCCTTGGTCCTTCTCCGCCACAGTTCTCTAATGTATGGAGTAGTCAGAATACAGAGACGTATTTTCAGCCTCCACCTATAATGAGCCCAGTAACACCGTATGTTCAGGTAAGGCTGTTCATGTCACTGATTTTGAATCATTAAATATTTTTGAAGGTGCAATCAGATCAGATTCCAATCTGATTTGCCTCCTTGTTTTCATATTATCTTCCCGAGTAAGAAGCACACAACTTCAAACCACTTCGAAAGAATGCCAGCAACCTTGAAAAATTGCTTGTGTTGCGATCTCTTTATAAAGAGGAAAATACCTTCTAAGAATGAGAACTGTTGAAGGTGGAGCTAAGATTGAATTATTTAACAGTTCTTAAGTGATCTTGTTTCTTGTTGATGTACTTAACAAATCAAATCTGTCCAGATTTTTAATGTATTGCTGTCCTGCCTCAGAATAAACTACAAGCTTCAAAATGTATGTTTGTAAACAAGTATGGAGCCAGAAGTTGTCTCTGGTACTCTTCTCTCCTCCTAGCCAAGCAGATTCTTGGTTTTAAACTGCTGTTGTGTCTTAAGAACAGCAGATGCTGTTTTACTGCATCTGCTGCTCATAGCCGTGGCCAGTACAGTATTGCCTGCAGGGCATCACTGTATTGATACTTCGGATAAGGTGTAGGTAGAATGAGTCCTGTACTGTGAACAGACCAGATTACACTCTTGCTGCATTAGCCTGCGTGTTGTGGCAATGCAACAGGAGAGTATTAATTACCAACTGATTCTGCTTTCTATATTTGAAGCAAGTGAAGAAGAGCAAACTGCAGTGACTCACAGAAATAAGGCAGAGAGCTTGATAACAGTATTCTTGCTGATCCTCCTAAGTTTATTGGGAAAGTAGAATAGCGTAGGAAGAAAAATACTCACTTAAATGCTGGAATGTGCCTTTAACTATTTTCTGAAGAAAGGTTCCAGGTTAATGTTGTGTCAGAGTAGTTACAGGGAAGAAATACTGTAAAATGTCTTAACTGGAGTATTTAGCTTTCCTTTGGCTCCTAGAAACTGATCTTCAGGCTGTATAGTAGTTAGTCTGCTTCAGGTCTACTACAGAAAGTTTATGGCATAACTTATTCTTCTGAAATGACTTAAAAGATCAGCTACAAGCAGATAATGGGATTTTTAGACGTATAAGACACTTTAGAATCCCACTTACTAGAGATTATTAGTGCCTGAAGTGCTGAAGCCAAGCCCCATGGGAAATCTGCAAGGGTCTCTTTTAAGTAGTGAGCCTAGTCTGAACAGGAACTGAAGTAACAGTATAGCCACATACTTCTGAAAACGTGCTTCTAGCTAATACCTCTACAAATAAAAGTACTTTTATCTTGCTTCAGACTTGCAGTTTTAAACACAAAGCTTTATTTGCAGCCATATCCATACAGTTCATCACCAACTGTACTGCTAAAGCAGCAAGTTCCCATAGGATATCAACCGGCTTATAACTATCAGGTATGTAAAGCTTTAGTAGCAGCAGAAGGCTATTTGATACCTGACAAAACAGTAAGGAAATGTTAACCAAAGTCTGATCTTACTGTGAATTCTGTTTTCCTTCAGCTCTTCCTTTGCAGATATTAAAACCTAGTGATATTTTTATTTTAATGAGGTGGAAACTGTTGAATACCTTAGTATATGCTTTGGTTTTTTTTAATAGAATATAGTTTTTGTTTCCTTAAATATACAGTGATAAAACAATTTCCAAATTAGGAAAAAAGTACATGGATTAGCAGTACTTTTTCTTGTGGGAAGGAGCTTTGTGTTAGTACATGGTGTAGCAAGGGTAGCTGGTGTTAGATTACATAAGAGTCTTAGCAGACTATACAAATGTGGGGTGTATATAGGGGGGATGCACTCTGGCACTCTAAAAACATCAGAGAAGGCACTTACTGATAGTGGGTTTTGAACTCAGAAGTGAGACGTGGGTAAGTCCTGTTACTAAAATTAAACTAGAAGTTTAGTAACTGGAAGCAGCTAGAGGTTTGAGATTGTTTTCAGTGTGGCTGCTGTGATTTCCCTTATTTTTCCCTAATATTTAGAAGTCCTATTTCTTTTTTTTTAATTTGGAATGAGAAGAGGAAGGAGACAGTTGAATAACATAAGCAATTTTGTTGGACGTAAAGGTATAGACTGTTGTTTAGTGAAAAATCCAAACATGAAATGGTATAAATGGTGGCTCTTGCAGAGCAGTTACTTGTCTGTGTTGGAAATTAATGGATTAAAGCTGGTTCTTGTCCAATATTTGTTTAAGGGTCAACCACAGTGGGTTGCTGGGGAGCAAAGAAGTTATGTTATGCCTCCTGGTCTGGTGAGTCTACAAAGTTAAACTTCTGAAACCGTCTTCTCAATTAGCACGTGGTTTTTACTGTTTGATACTTAAAAAAATCAAAGTATTTGTTGTCTGGATCTGTATGTAATCAGATCTATAAAAATCTTGCTGACAAGAGCATGTAATTGTTTAAGATTTCTACTGAAGTGGTGCCTTTTTGAGTTACCAGATGGAACAGACCTACCTGTTTTATGGCATTACTCTATACATTCTGGTCACAGAACTCTGGAATTTTAACATGAATGGAATTGGTCTTTTCAGGAAAAGTCAGAGGAAAAAGAAGTGATGACCTGATGGACAATGTTTTTTTAAATTTAAAAAGTTTCAGTGTTCTTTGCAAATACTGATTTATTTTTGGCTCCTTTCAACAGCTTTTAAAACTAGTTTCCCAGGCTGCTACAAAACTGTAGATGGTGCTGCTGGCTTCTAAGAAATGACTTGTGCTCTATGACTTTATACAAGTGACATCTATGGAGAGAGGAAAAATACTGTGTATTTTTCTTTAGCAGTGTTGGAACTTAAAGTTGCTTCTTGGGGCATTTTTATGTTCTTTAGGTATAATCTTGTGGTTATTGAGTGCAGTTTCAATTAAGTGTTTAAAAACTGTAATACATAATTTTGTTCTGAATGATACTCTCTTTTTCTGAAAGTTTTCAGAAGTCGCTGAAATACTGATTACCCTGTTGGCTTGAAGTAATTTTTGTTCAATAACATCCATGAGTATGATACAGCCACAGTATGTCACTTAACAATTAAATGGTAGCAGGTCAAAGAGTCTTTAGAGTAGGACTGCGTAAGGCTTTCATTATTAGATTTTTTAAGCTTGATTATATGAGCGACAACTCTTCTTGAACTGTCTCTGTTACGCAACTGAAAGTACCGTTAGTAACTGCCTTAATAAAACAGATCAGGATACAGCATTTTCCCCACTCAGGACACTTCTGGTAAAAGTTTGAAGATATAGTTGGCACGGCTTTACAGATAGATAGATGAGGGTCAGTGAGAATATAACTGTGCATGCAGTGTTACTGAAGTATTACAATACTTACAAAACTATACAGGTTTATGCATCTGTAAACCATCACTCTGAGGATCCAGGATTTATACAGACGGAATGTGCTGTTCCTGAGCCCATGCACTTGCCTGCTAACAGCCCACAAAAGGTAAGGTCTTTCTCAAAACTTGGATGTTCGTTACCATAAATCCTATTCCCAGAAATTTGCACGTTAAGATTACGTGGCTTGGGTCAAGGGCCTCTGACAGGTATCCTAGGAATTTAGGTTATAGCTGCCACTTTTAGCCAGTTGCTCAGTCCTGTGTATCTGATTGATGTGTACAACTTCAGAAGTCTTATGTTTCCTTTAAACTATTAGTGCTTGTCTGCAATGCTGAGGGCTGTATAAAATGTGTGATCTACTTGATTAAGTATACTAATGTTTTTAANCAGAACTTTACCTGTCACCTTTACTTTAATCTGTAATAATTTTAGGGAAAATTACAGGTACTAAAAAAGCATATTAGGTAGCACTACCTGCTGTTTTAGATTTATTTTAAGCTTCAAGCATCTGTTGGTAGTGGTTACTCCCTTTTTCACTGTTTTGTGGAAGTTGACCCCAGTATAGCCAATAGTTGGCTCTGAATTCAGTTTTCTAAAACAGACTTTGTTTTTCAGCTGCCAGCCAGCCTATTCCACTGAGGGGAGATAATGTAACACTAAGGGGGGGATAATGAGTTACCAGTATGAAAAGTTAGGGAGGAGGAAAAAATGACAAATACTTCAGGGAACATAAGGCATTTGAGAACAATCCTGAATGCCAGGTGAACCCTATGACACGCCAGCACATTGCTAGGTAGTAGTGCCCTAACTAAGAAAATCAGTATTGATGCACCTGTAACTGTATTTCAGAAGTCTGTGGACAGGGGCATGCAAACAGTAGTGTCCTGTCTGTCTAATCCTGAGAACCAGCTGAGGAATGACTCTCTGTCACAAGACGACAACATAAAGGTATGTAGTGAAAGCAAAAAGAAATCTTAAAATACAGCTGACCTTCGATTGTTTGCCTACAGGATACAATAAAGATGAAGGGATTTATATCCGGAATGCCGTTTGAATTTTTTTCCTTCCTTGTACGTGTTTGGCTCTCAATTGCTTAATGCTGGAAAGAAGTGCTGAAATTGGATTCAATGGCTTTAATCAAGATGGCATGAATTGCTGAACATTGCTAATGGATAATTAAGAGCATAAGTCTGGGTAGTAATTTCTCAGTGAGAAGTGGCTGAAAGCAGTGGGTTACTATGTAGTTTGGACAGAGGATGTTGCGTTACAAGCCTTGATAGTCTTGTTAGTTACCTGCCCACTGTAGGTGGTGGCTAGTTGTGCTTTGTCTCTGCTTTAAGGAATAAATTGTAGTTCAGGTTGGTAGCTGGTCTTCTGAAACGGGAATACAGAGGCTGTATTTATCAGTTTTGTAGAGGGGGAATAAACTACAGAGTATCTCAATATAGTTTTCATGAAACCTCAGTTACCTTATTCTGATTATCTGATTTTTTTTTTTTTCCCCCTGTCCTGTCTTCTATGTGATCCCAGGAGAGCAAAGTATATCACTTCCGAAAAGGAAGGACAGGATTCAAAAGTGTTTGATGAATGAAGACTTTGGAGTATCTAAATTAATTAAGTCGATGTTACTACAGTTCAGCAATACATTCAGCATAACATTTCTCAAAGTTGCTTCAAGTTAAGTTTGTGTTCATGTTCAGCCTGTTTTGATATAGTTCCTGTTTGGGTAATTTGAAGTTTAAAGTTGTAAGAGTTGACAAACTTCAGTTACATTGTTTGCATGCTTCCCCAGTTTGTTTGCTGCATGTGGATTTTCTTCTGAGTTTTAACGTACACTTTGCATATTACACAGGTTTGCTTTAACCACAATTTGACTCACCCTGACCAGTTAATTTTTGCAGTTTAAAAATGGAAATAGTTATTTACCCAAGAGATTGTATTTTAAAACTGAGTTCTTAAATCAGGGCAAAAGAAGATGTAACTGAGCTGAAGCCCTTCTTAAGTCCTAGTTGCCTTTAGACAACATAGTCAATGTGATTATGTTCATTACTGACACTTTATGTACCTGCAGTCTTGAGCATCACTATTGGTTTTGGGTAAGTAATGAAGAGAATCCTGACATTTCTGTATGTAACTTAAAATGCAAGAACGTAATTATCTGTATTGGCTACTCAGTAGAGTATGATTTTTTTAATTAAAAAATCCTAAAAATATCTGTATGTTAAAATTCTGAGAAAATACTGCATTTAAAATATGCTTTTGTTGTGTGATGGAAACTGTTAATCAAAGACTAGCTGTAAGACTATTTTAATAATCATGTATATTTTAGTTGTGTATTTTGAAACAATGAAATAAATTTTTATTTTGCCTTGGCTACTTAAATTTCTAGTGACAAATCTAACTAATAATTTGGTAAAACTATTAAAACCTTAATACCCTGTACAAGAATTCCAGTTACTACGAATGTCCAAGGACTGCTTCTCAGGAGTGTTCTGGATAAATTTAATTAAGGGGAGATGGGGGACAATGTCAGTTTACTGGTAAAGATAATTGTTTCTTTGCAAATGCAGATGTCATTTTGACTTGATGTTCTAGTTGATTTGGTTGCCCTGGGCTGTGTTTAAAGCCTTATTGTGGAGCTATAAGAAAACACAGAAATGCGTATGTGTAGCTCTCATTGAAGAATCTCAACACCAAAAGAAGACATAAACCTCAAGATACCTACACAGAGTGCCCATTTTCTGTTTATTTGACCAAGTTTTACTCCCAGGACCATCTGGTGAGTGAGTTGATGGTTCGGTGTGTGTGAAATGGTGGTGCTAGATAGGAACTATTCTTACAGGAATGCTGAGAAGGTTTATTGCAGGGAAATACATAGCCAAGGCCTTACAAGTGCCATTTATTTTCTCTTCCATTACGTCATGTTGTGCTGGTTTTGTTAGCCACATCCTTAGGGAATTGAATTTTTTTTATTTTTTTTAAATTCCCGTCTTGGAGTTGTATCTTTTGGAGCATATGCCAGTAAAACTAACAAGCTATAACTGAGAACATGCATTTATAATGTTGTTTTGAAGTACCCTGTAAACATAGCACAAAAACAGTAGGTAAGTCTCTTTTGTGTTGCATTCTGAAAGTTGAAACATCTATTTAATTTGTGTGTGGCTGAAGGCATTTCTAAAACGGGTGCATGGTTGAAGCTTCTTGCAAATTTGTACCTCTTGTATTCTCAAATCAAGTGGACTGTTTTAATTGTGAGCCAGCAGGCAGTAGTGAGGCTTGGTGGATCTGCCTTGGCTTGTGCACAGTATGTATGTTCTCTGTGAGACTCAAAAGCATTGAGTCTCCTTTAAATATTAAGATAACTCTTTGTCAAAAGAAGCAGTTGTTTAGACAAGATACCAAGTAAATGCAAGCATTGTATTTTTCTGTTCTAGAGCTATGACACTTGGTTTGTATTACGGTTCTTGGCTGAAGTGCTCCAGTTTGCTGCTTGTTGGCCTTTTCATACTTTCTTTACAAGCTTTGCCCACTGACAGAATTATTCTTGGAATGAGACAGCCAGACAGATGGCATTCTTGGATCTCCATTAGAATGGTTGTTTGCATTCTTGGATCTCCATTAGAATGGTTGTCTGGCACAGACACTAATTCCCTGTCGGAAATGGAAATATTTTTTTCCTTCTAGGTATTTGTGTGCTAAACCAAGATGAATCGTGTCTTAACATGAAGGTGATCTGATCCTCGATTGCTACAAAGAAACAAAATGGTTTTTCCTAAAAGTCCTCTAACAGGTATACGGTCTGTATTCCTTGCAGGAATGACTTGGTAGACCAGTGTTTCAGGATAGATGAATATTTTAAGAGCTTTAGTGTCTGCCACTTTCAATGTTGCTAACAAAGTAAACTTTTTTAAAAAAGTGATCCAGGCTATCAAGACAATGGGGTTTCTTCAGATGAAATATGGCATCTCAAGAAAATCCTAAAGTAGCTTTACAACCAGATGGATATTTGCTTTGTACTTTTTTATTCCTACTCCTAAAATTCAGGCTTCTCCAGGGGACACAAGTACACATACTTTACCTGTAACTTGTTTTAAAAAAGAAGGCCCCAGCTGAGTTTATACAAACTAGGCCTTTGTATTGCCCCAGTGATTCTTCTGGCTTTAACTTCTGTGAATAAATTCAAAGGGAGGTTTTTTTCCAGTAATATGAACTTATATGTACTTGGTGCTCAAGACAAACATGAAAGGGAGTTTTCTGCTCATTTACCTTAAGGTTGGGAGACTGTAGCAAGTACAGTAATGAGGGCAGGATTTATATTTAAAAACATACTGCTGTAAAATACAGTGTCAGAGCTGAAAATAAGGCTATTCATGCTGCTAGTCCTAAAACAATTACCGTATGGAATCTCAGAGCTTCTGAATATGTAGTCAAATAAAGATGCATGCTGTAGTTAATATATTTCTCATGTAGTGGGGGTATTAGAGGTGCTGCTTGTAAGACAGTGCCTATGTGTCTGCAGTAAACCTGCTGTGTTTGGGGTGTGTGTAATCATGCCCTCTAAGCTTTTAACTTAACCTGTTCTTGTAGGTAGTTCTTTAGGTCAGGTGTTCAAATTTCATTGTATTTGAACTATTTGGTGTTTGGACTAGATGACCTTTAAAGGTCCTTTCCAACCCCAGCTGCTCTATGATTGTCTTAAGGGGAGTCTGCTTTCTTTTTTTGGCCAGAACAAACCTAACCAAGTTCTTTCTCCCCCCTTAATTTGTACTTGTTCCTTTATTACACTATGAGTGAGTGTTCAACAAATGCTTAAGCTTCTTTTAAGGTCTTCCTAGAACAATTAAAACAATTAAACCCACCAATTTCAATAGAAGTCTTCTTTCCCTGGGGAAGAATTTGTGCTTAAAACTGCAGATTCATACATAGTTCATTTCATAGAATGGCTTAGGTTGGAAGGGACCTCTAAAGGCCATCTAGTGAACCCCTCTGTAATGAGCACGGATATATTACTAGATCAGGTTGTTCAGAACTCTGTCCAGCCTGACCATAAATGTGTCTAGGGATGGGGCATCCACCACTCCTGGGCAACTTATTCAGGTGTCTCGCTGACCTCATGGAAGAACATTTCTTTCTTCTGTCCAATATACATCTACCTTCTTAGTTTAAAACCATTACTTGTCCTACTGAAACAGGGCCTATTAAAATGTCTCAATCTTTCTTACAGGTTCCCTTTAGTGTTGGAAGGCCACAGTAAGGTCTCCCTGGAGTCTTGTCTTCTCCAGGCTGAACAATTGCAGTGCTCTCAGGCTGTCTTCATGGGAGAGGTGCTCCAGCCCTCATGGCCCTCCTTTGGAGGGCCCAGCAGGTCTATGTCTTTCCTGTGGTTGGTATTCCAGGTGAATGCAGTACTCCAGGTGGGGTCTCACCAGAGAGGCAGAATTGCTTCCCTTGGGAGGGAAGGGGGCAAACAACCCAGTGTTTTGGCCTGTAGAACAACTGTGCAGCCATCCAGTTCTTGCCATGTCAGCTGACTTTAAACTGGATGTACGCAGCAGTTAAATTACTAAAATGGGATTAATGGCTTCTGTATGTCATAATAAGATAAATTATGCCTTTTTTAAAATATGCCAAGGGGAGCCTCTATACACATGGTGGAGTAATCATTTAGAAATGTGTTATGAGCACACACTTCAGTCTTTTTCTTTCAAGGGAACAGTGAGGTAGGTAATAGAAATATGCATTGGTCAGAGGACATTACCTAAATCTGAATCATTTTGGTTGGAAAAGACCTTTAAGATCATTTTGGTTGGAAAAGACCTTTAAGATCATTGAGTCCAACCAGCATTAACCTAACACTGCCACATCTACCATAAACAATCTCTTAAGTGCCATATCTACATATCTTCTAAATAGCTCCAGGGAGAGTGACTCCATCACTTTTCTGGGCCTCCTGTTCCAATGCTTGAAAACTCTTGTGTGTGAAGAAATTTTTGCGAATGTCAAAACTAAATCTCCCCTGGCACAACCTGAGGCCATTTCTTGTTGTCCTGTTGCTTGTTACCTTGGAGAAGAGACTGACCCCCAGCCTCGTTTCAGGTGGTTGTAGAGAGCAATAAGATCTCCCCTGAGCCTCCTTTTCTCCAGGCTAAAGAACTCCAGCTTTCTCAGCTGCTCCTCATCACACTTGTGCTCTCACCTGCTCAGACCCTCACCTGCTTCCTTGCCCTTCTCTAGACATGCTGTGGTGACTCATTGTTTCTCTTGTCGTGAGGAATCCAAAACAACACTATCAATATGTGGCCTCACCAGAGCCCAGTACAGGGACACAGTTGCTTCCCTTATCTTTGTGATACAAACCAGGATGCTCTTCCCACCTGAGAACACTGCTGGCTCATGTTCAGCCCTGCCTCAGCTGCAGCCTAGCAGCCAGCTAAGAACTGATGCGGAGCAGGGGAATCCAACTGTTAAAGCATCACAAAGGCCTGGGGCAGGTGCTGATGCAATGTGATTTCTGCCCAGTGCTCTAAGTGTCAAGGCAAAGAAATTCAATAAAGCACAGGAAAAGGGTAGGAGTAATCTACTACTCTGTTAAGAAGGGACTATGATTGCTAACTGGGCTGAGGTACAGAGGTTGTATCTTCCTGTGGTTACAGTAGATGCCCTTAGGGGTAACTGAGTTGATCTTTGCTGTGTGGGAATTACAGCTGCTCCTTCCCTATCAGGGGCATTTGGCATTCGCTGCTCACTAGATAGTATCTCAGGTGAAACAAATGGTGATCATGTCACAAGCCACCACGCCCTGACCCATGGGATGGAAAAGCTGGGTAGAGTGAGCAGCTTGGAGGATAGTGCTGCTAAAACTGATGAGACCCCCACAGGATGGGCTTACGCCTTCTTGCTGGTCAGGCAAGCCAGAGTTGACCTCTGTGAGCTGCTGCCATCAGGCTCCACGCTGGTTGCAACCCAGGGGGTGTAGAGCCAGGTCAGACATGTCAATACCAGACCCTGATGCAGGTGCTGGTTGGCCGTAGCCCCGTCCACAGTGAATTTCATAGATGGCAAACTGCCAGCTATAACCTGCTGCACAGTGGGAACCATGCCAGTGACCATTGTGATGATGTCAGTACTATCTAGGTGAATTGCAGGCATTGTCACATAATGTCAGTTTGGGGTTGTATCATGACATGTCACATAACACATACCATCAGTTTTGGACAAGATTTTACCAATTTTGACCAGGGTGGATGGGCTACCTTAACCTGGAAAAGGGGCACACACAAGTATGTTTGATACCTAGCCAAGTGCTTCGTCATTAATTGGTGACATGCATGCACTGTACCTATCTGCTATCCAGGAAAACCACAGCCAAAGGAACGGGCTTGGAATCAGTGGGGAAAGGAGCCTGTTGAGCTTGACTCTAGTCTGGCACTGTAAAGAAAGACAAGAGATGTTGAATAAGTGAGACGCCAGGCATGTGTTTGGCAATGTGGGGTGACTGGCCCTCTGGAGTCATGGCTATTGGTGAATTACCACTATTGTTACTATGTTTCACTTACCTTTGGGGTGGAGTGGGGGTGTGAGCCCGGAGGGGGTTGAGTCCTGAAGGAGGCTCTCACTTCTAGCTGTGGACGAACTTCCCCGTTGGCATGTCCTTTGCAGCCCCAGTGTCCCTGCAACTATAGGCTCCATGGGCTCTCTGAACCCTAATGATGGCTTGGGGCTGAGGTGCCCAGCATGATGGATGGCCCAGATGGTCCTTTTCTGCCATGCAGCTTTCCATCCACTCTTCCTTAAGCCTGTAGTGTTTCATGCAGTTTCTTGTGACCCAGTTGCAGGATCCAGCACTTGGCCTTGTTGAACCTCCTAAAACTGGACATCAGCCTTTCCAGATCCGTCTGCAGGGTCTTCCTGCCCTCCAGCAGGTCAGCGCTTCTGCCCTACTTCATGTCTTTTGCAACCCACTGAGGGTGCACTGATCTCATCTAGATCATTGGTAAAGATATTAGA